TAGAGAACAGGGTTGCAATGTTTTCTGTGGGAGTGCAGGTCCAAGGGATCCAGAGTGAGGGGATTCCTTGAGGGGCCCATGATGAGAGACAGACATGCTGGAGGCTCAGAGAGGTGCAGTCCCACGAGGCGGAAGGGCTTGATCCCCAAAAAAGAATGAACCCCTGAGAAGGGCTACTGCATTTAAGGGGGTTCAAGTGTGGGCACTACCTGTGAGTTCATGACAATAATGAAGACTCATCCTCCCACAATGACCAGAATTGTTAGCAGTGTCCCACCCTGGCTGAGAATGTAAAGACTAATTCTGCTATTTATTATATACAATCTAGTTAGACAATCTTCTTGGCTTGAGGATCTTATGGTCTAAATGTAATCTTATTGCATAAATATTAGAGAGACTGATAGATCCAAAAGTAATTTCCATAAGAATTTTCCAAAAACAGGGACACACCTGAAATAGCCTTCTGATCTAGTGTATTTAAAGTCCTGGTGTGTGTGTGTGTGTGTGTGTGTGTGTGTGTGTGTGTCAAGATTTATTGTGATACGAATAAATGTTATTGTGATAATTATTCAATTGTGATATGAATAAATGTTATTGTGATAATTATTCAAGATGCCTGTCAATTACTATAGTCCAGAAAAATGTCCAATTAGCTACTTAATCAAAAGAAATTAGAGAAATTTGCAGATCAAATACATTTCCAGAAGTTAGAGCTAACGAATATAGTTAACAATGTCAGAGTTTACATTGGATGTCTATATTTTGGAGGATCATTGCATATATATTTGAAAAATGATAACCAAATTTAAATACACACAATTATTAAAAAATACACTGTAGGGAACAAACCTACCCTGGCCATGGGATTATTTAGAGTACCGAATAGTCTTCTCCATACTCATTTCTGTAATCCAGTTTATATTGTTAAACTGTATGTTCACATGAGATGGAGTGCTAACTAGATGTATAAACCACTTAAGTTTGCTGTCATGGTTAAAATTCTTAAGAACCCTTAAAGCAAATGCGTCTTTGAACTGTAGAGAGAGACACAGGTTCTTCTCTATTGATCAGTGCCACAAGAAATACAAAATGCATGTCACGCTTACACAATGTACCGTGATTAATGCCGCTGATATTTTCCATGATTTCTTCGCTCAAGACTATCTGCAGTGATCAGCATTGTCATCACTTCTAACAACACATACCTTCAAGTTCTATTACCATTTCATCCATCAAATGGCATGCTGAATGGTAATCGCTAGTCAGACAAAAGGATATTACATCTTATGCTATTGATATAAATTAAGATATATTTTCACTCTGTTCCAAACCCAGAATAACTTCTGAGGGGTATGTATTTGTTTGTTCTTTACATTTTCAGACCCACATTTTCCCTCTAAAGCAACATTTTGCCAGAAAAAAATGTGTGTATGTGTGGGTTTAACTTTCAATTCTAACTCAAGAGCAGCTTTCTTCTAATATGAAAAGCTATCAGTTTTAGTTATTTTTGTGTTTTTGTGTTTTTTCAATGGATTCTTTCCTTCAAAATAATTAAATCAAATACCCTTCTGCCCTGCCTTTCTCTTATCCTCATTTCCCAGATGTATAGTGTCTGAGAGACAGTCTCTAAGTGTCTATGTGCAGCATATATTTGAGATGGGGGAGAGCATGTGTGAGACAGTGTGCCTGCTTTTCTCACCAACAGCCATGTTACACCAGTGTGGCTCTATTGATATCACTGGAATTACTCTTGGTTTATGCTGATATAAATTCTGCATGTTTGTGTGGGTGAGTGACAGAGTTGTGTATGTGTAGAGTGACAGAGTGAGTTGTGTAAGTGTAAAGGTCTGTCTATATTAAAGCAGTACAGGTAGGGTGGTACCGCTGTGTTGCAGGTAGCACCTTAGTGTAGATCCGTGGTCACCAACCAGTAGATCGCGATCTACCGGTAGATCTCAGGGGCTCTAAGAGTAGCTCTTGAGCCCTCTCTGAACTGCGCGCCTGTGCAGTACATTTACATTAGATTTCCTCATTTGAGGAGCAGCTACACAGGTGAGTAGCTGCGAGGAATGGTGGGAGCTGGGAGGTTGGGAGGGCTGAAACACCCCAGCCAGCTGACTGTGGCTTTCAGCTGAAAGCGGCTGTCCCACGCTCCAGCTGATCGGCAGCTTCTCCTCTGCCCCTCCCCACGTGGAGCTTGGTGCACCCTGGCTGAGCGCCATGGCCAGCTGGTTGGGCAGCCACTTCTCTTCCCTCCAGCCCGGCTGCCCTGCGCTCAGCCCAGGGAGGCTGCGTCTAGCTCCAGCTGTGCTGGAGCAAGCTTCCCAGGCTGAGCGCAGGATCACAGATGCCCATCTGATGGACTGTGTACGACTAGCAATCTCAGACTATAACCCAGACTTCAAGACACTGGCAGATACTGTTCAGTCACAGGTGTCACACTGAAACTTTGTTATTGGAAGAAAAATATATAATTATCAATACTTGATTTTAGATTTACAAAATAGCAGAGAACAAAATGTATAATTGTAAATGCTTCATTTGACATTTATAGCATGAATTAAAAATGGACCATTTATTTAACTATAAACGTGATTTTAATTTTATATATTGCATAATTTAAAAATGAACTGTTTAACAGAGTGTATAAGGGCTAGGGATGGACAGGAGAATAGAGAGGGCGGGGCTTCAAGGAAGGGGCGGGGAGGTAGATCTTCGCCTGTTCTGAGACTTAAAAAGTGATCTTGGGTGTAAAAAGGTTGGAGACCACTGGTGTAGATATTTTCTGCACTGATAGCAGGGGATTTCCTACCAATACACCTAATCCACCCGAGTGGCAATAGCAAGCGTGGAAAAAATCTTCCATCACCAACCTAGCCACGTCCATTGTGGTAGTGGTATAGGTTAAGATTTGCCAGCCCAAACAACGTAGTGAGGGGAATCTGATTTTTAAGTGTAGGGTAGACTAGGCCAAAGAGAGCCACAGGCAGGTAACGTGTGAATGTCTGTGAGTATAGATGGACATGCAGGAGGCTATGTGGGTGGATCTGAGAGACTGTGGGAAAGCCTGAGCATATGGAGGCTAGGTAAAAGGGGCATGTTTTAAAACATTAGTTAATATGCCAATCTGACATAGTCAGAGTTGACTAGGATTAACTAATCTGTTTTAATTAATTGATTTCAAACAGGACTTTGCACCCAGCCTACAAAAGCGCAAGTCATATTTGAAAATGTGAGTTTGGCCTGCTTGGGAGCTGAATCTAGGCTTGTCTATACTAGGGATGTTAACTATCAGTTAATTGAATATTCCAGTAACCTCAAGAATTCGTATCGGTTCATTGGCTACTCTATAGTACTCGGGGGCGGGGATGGCAGCCAGTGCGGTCCAGCCCCACTCCTGAGAATCCCCCTGCCACTCCAAGCTGCTGCCTCTCGTACCTGAGGCAGCAGTGTAAGGTGCCATGTGGGAGCTAGTCCCCAAGGGGCACCAGTTTAAAAACCAGCTCCCCTTGTGGACTGGCTACCTGTTGCCCTGTGCTGCTGCCACTGTTTAGGGTGGGTCTGAGCTCCCGAACCTGGTGTGAGACAGAACTGAGCCAGGCTGCCCGCCCACCTGGCTTCTAATACACTTTAAATGCAGAGCCACAGTAGGGGTAGGTCCCAGACCCGTTTCAAGTTAGGACTGAGATGGACTGCTGGCCAGCCTGCTAAAAAAATCTACTAGCAAGTGGGTGTGTGAAATGCATGTAGTCTATAGCATTAACCTATACGAATTTGCTTATTGGTTAATTGACTACACTATTACATCCCCAGTCCACACATACAATACCATATAACCATGTCACTTTGATTTTACCAGTCTGAATCCCACTATGTGGATGCTTACTTCAGAATAAGAGCATTCTAGCTTAGTTAACACATATTTTTAACATGTGTTAACTACTCTGGAAAAGGGCACTCTCATGCTGCAATTTTATTTTAAACATGACCATCTATCCTAGTCTGGAGAGACAACATGAGGAGTGAGACTGGATGTGTGTGTGTGTGTGTGTGTGTGTGTGTGTGTGTGTATGTGTGAGAGAGAGAGAGAGAGAGAGAGAGAGTGTGTGATGAGGACTGTGTGTGAGAGAAAATGTGCTTTGGATGGAGTGTGTGAGGATGGAGTGTGTGAGGCAGAACTATTGTGTCAAAGAGGTTGTGCATGTGTGTGTGTGTGTGGGGGGGGGAAGTGTACCAGAAAGACTGCGGGTGTATTGGAGGGAGATTGAGGGAGAGTGTGTGTGATGGGGGATCCTGTGAGAAAGATTTCACTGTGGGTGTGAGATTGGGTGGGTGGTAAGGGTGTATGTGAGAGAGACTGTGTGGGAAAGTGTGCGTGTATGAGAGGGGGTGTCTTGGTGTGTGTGTGTGAGAGAGACTGTGTGGGAGAATGTGTGTATGTGAAACTGTGTGGGAGACCGTGTGTGTGGGAGACCATAAAGGGGACTGTGTGTGTGTGTGTGTGTGTGTGTGTGTGTGTGGGGGGGGGGGGGGGGGCGGGGGTGGTG